GAACGGGTTTTCAAACTCGTCTAGTCTCTTCCGCACGTTGCATCGTATCATTGCAGCGTTTTGATCCAGAATGGGAGGGCCTTGTCGACATCGACATCGCTCAAATAAGAGACCGAGATAAAATCAAAGTAGTGACAATAGACAACATCCAAACATCCATGGCAGGTGAAACATCTACCGCTAGTCTGGATAGCCATGATCATGGTGTAGAACAATTAATCCAGAACCTGCAAGAAGAGAGAACTGGTCTTGATTATAACCTCAGTATAGCACAGGCCACCCTGGAGTCGCTGAAAGTCGCCCCAAGGGAAAGAGGTCTTGCAGGGAAACACACTAATTTTACCTGCAGCAGTTGCCATTACAAAGGACACCGTGTTAATAACTGCATGTTGCATCCCTGTCGTGGGTACTATGAATGTGGCCAGCTCTCATTACACCGGGAAGACAGAGATCACTTAAAACAGGTTAGTTGATAGACTAAATTTTTAAGCAACAGAAAGTGTTTTCCGTGTTTGCACGGCCTAATTTAAGCACGAGAGGAGTAGGGAATTCTCGACAGTTTGCATCGTCTCGGGTTTGCATAACTTTCTTGAATTCTCCCAACCCCAATCCCTCTGGTGCTTATAGCAGGCTATGCAAATACAGGAAAAAAGTTTTCTATTGCTCATATAAATTGACTTTCCCAAGAAAAAATGCAAAACTATTTGTTATGGCATATATATTAGCAAAAGATTTTAACATATCAAATTAGGAAAGGTATCATTGTTTATTTCAAAACAATGGGGCGCATTGAATATTCAAAATAACCGATGGCATAGCCTTCACAACCTTGAAGGGATGTCCCGTGAGTAGCCTCCACCCCCACCCTGTATCCTTGAAAGATGCACTCTTCTGAGGTGTGGTTATTGGTGCCATAAAGTGATCTTTAAAATGTCTACACTGCACATGATTATGGTTTCTGTGCATTTACTGGTGACACTTATTATTGTTTAATCCAGGCTGAAGCTGAAGTGAAAGAAATCCAAAAACAGCTGAAGAGAAATATGGATGAAATGGAAAACTACAAATTGCTCAAGTATGTCATCATTATTCAATATTGCACAAAAGAGTGTGTGTGTGTGTGTTTTTTTGGAGCATCCAATGTTTTATGTTTGGAAATTGTTATATAATGTAAGGTTATCAAAAGGTGACTGAAAAGGCTGAACTTGTACAGAGACACTAACACACTAGAAACATTGTTGGTTGAAAATTGTAATTTGGAGAGAGGACAGGAAAACTACACCAGTAATTTTAGTATTGCATCGTTCGGCTTTTAATACTTTTTGTCCACACTAACCTGACTCAATGAAAACTTATCGATCACAGAAAAACAGGTAAGAGGTGTGGCTGTAAGGGGAGGTTTTCCATTTTGTTCAGGGAAATTTCACATTTGTCAGGGAAAAGACAAAAGTTTGAAATTTAATGTTTGTTGTGACCATGTATAATATATATGTATGTAAATTATTGTTGTCTTTCCATCATAAATTCAGATTCTTGTCCTTTTTTTTTGCTAGGGAAAGGACAAGAACCAACTTTTTTGCAAACACTAGGAAAAAGCTGCAGTGTCACAATCCCATCAAGTATTCCAACAGAACAACACTAGACAATGATCTAAGAATTTTAGCTACTGCGTGTAATCATAGGGTTCCATCAGCCACTGCAGATTTAGAGCAGATAATTGAGAATTATAGAAATAAGGCAAGTAGGGTGAAGTCTGTGCAGAATCATGTTTCACATGATTATAATCGCACTGTGTACCAGAAACAGAATTTGAACCAATGTAAATCGCCAATAACAATCAACAACCAATGGGCACCATTTAGCATGCCTCATTCACCACCATACTATGAAACTCAAAGTCCACCACCATACATGCACCATCGAACCCCAAGTCCTGTGTCCCATTGTCGGCCACCATACATGCAGCGCACAACTTCAAATCTACGTCCACAAAGCCCAAGGTGGCATTCTCCCTTTCAAAATGTCAATTACAGCAGACCTAATTTGTCACCTGCCTTTTCCCCACAATATCATTATTCACCCATGGGAGGGTATCATCAGAAACCACACCAGACACACCCCAACCATTCTCATAGAAGTTTTAAGACTCGCCTAAATGAACATGACCATCCCTCCAAGAAGAGACTTAANATAATCGCACTGTGTACCAGAAACAGAATTTGAACCAATGTAAATCGCCAATAACAATCAACAACCAATGGGCACCATTTAGCATGCCTCATTCACCACCATACTATGAAACTCAAAGTCCACCACCATACATGCACCATCGAACCCCAAGTCCTGTGTCCCATTGTCGGCCACCATACATGCAGCGCACAACTTCAAATCTACGTCCACAAAGCCCAAGGTGGCATTCTCCCTTTCAAAATGTCAATTACAGCAGACCTAATTTGTCACCTGCCTTTTCCCCACAATATCATTATTCACCCATGGGAGGGTATCATCAGAAACCACACCAGACACACCCCAACCATTCTCATAGAAGTTTTAAGACTCGCCTAAATGAACATGACCATCCCTCCAAGAAGAGACTTAAGTATACCAACCAGGCGCACAAAGAACCTGGCAAGAAATTCAGGGAATCTCTTAAAAGTGTAGCTGAAACTAAAACTGTTACCACTATTGGGTCAGGTGATGAAACACAAGATGATTCTCCAGTGGAAAGCCCTGGTCCTAAAACAAGCAGTGCAGAAGCAGAGGCAAGTGTGGTCAAAAGCAATGATGAATGTTTTTCACAGTCTATAATAGAGGAATCTTTTAATTATGATGAATGGGTGAAAAAGCAAATTGCTATAACAAAAGAAATCTCTAAAAGTGAATAAGCGTGTAATGTTCACTTTTTTGAATGATCCATAAGCTTGTAATGTTTATATTTTTGTAAAAATTGTTCAGTTTAGTTCTTCTTTGTTATTTTTGTCTACATTGGTCTATGAACTGATGGATCCCTTCCAGTCAAGCCAGGTCAAACATACCCTCGAAGATTCCATTTAATGAATTCATTTTTTAAAAGTTGAATTGTGTTAGTTGTAGTAGATTTCAGATTCATCTTTGCATTGCTGTGTGTGTATTGAGTGGTGAATTCACAGGCATGGTAGTTATCAGATTTCTACAAGCTCAGTTTTCTTGAATTTCATGTAAATGTCTTCAAAGCAATATTAGCCATTCAAAGATTTCTCATTACATATGCAGGAATGCAGATATTAATTATATACCAGTTGCGGCAACAACAAATGGATTCATTTTTCCAAAAATTTATTTTTGAATAGAACCTTGGGGGGAGGAGTGGTACACTTGACCTGTCTTGACTGTAAGATGCAAAGTCTAGACAGGAAAATAGCAGTACACTATATATACACCCCAAATGTTGAGCCAGTATGGTACAAGCTGTCTTTCAATGTAATAAGAGGCTTCCAAGTAATATTCAACAGTAATATTGCACCTAAAAAAGATGCACATGCATGTAGCCTGGTTTCTTGCAAGTAGAAATTTAGTGAAGGTGTGAAGACAGTCAAGAGTCTCTGCTGCTAATGTGTAGCATTTTCATTTTGGGATGACAAGCGTGGATAACAAAAAAAGGATAGTTGAGTTGCAGATCATGTTGGGTTGATTCAGCATTTTGCATTAGAATATAATTGCAAAACATGTAACAATTTACTTTAAAGACACAATCGTGGCATCTACTAGTTGTAAATGTACGTCATTTCACAAAAATAATATAGTCAAGGTATGAAAAAAGACACCACTGTACATCACTCTAAGCTGCAGTTAGCTGCTAGGCTTCTAAAATACTGAGGAACAAACTTGGTCAGGATCCATGAAAGCTTCATTTCTCCTCATAACTAATACCTATTATTTAAATTTTTTGGCTTTCAAGAAAACAAGGTGTAAAGATGAGTTAAATAAACTTAAGTTTGAGATCTGTCGTGAAAAAAATATGGTAACTGGTTTCCCTACCTTTAAAAAGTTAAACCATTGAAATTCTCATTCAACAAGCTTTTTCAGCTTTATTCAGCTTATTTCCAAGTGAACTGCACTTGGTTTCTATACAGTCACAGCTTCATTATGTAATCCCTATTATTGGGATTATGTAATCCTCTTTATATTTAAGCCCATGTATCCTTGCTGAAAGATGACATACTCCAAGAAAGCATCTAACCATCAAGTTATTTCTGACCACAAGAAGTGGGGGTCAGGGTTAACAGAGAAAGGATGGGCCTTATAAGAAAACATGATTTCGAAAAGGAGTGGGTGCTTTGAATAGCTCTATTGTGACTCTACAGAGCATTAATTTCTTACCTCTGCACATTTTCTGCCAACCCCCCTCCCCCGTATTTTTTGTGGTGGTTTATGTGAACTTTGGTGACACCTACCTTTGGTCAGCGTGTTGAAAGTGGTAGATGATGCTTTTGATGACTGTCTTCCAAGTACATGTGACTCTTAACTTAAGAGAAAACATACTTGACTCAAAGCTGTGATCTCCAAAAGCGGTTTTTTGGTTGTGTAAAAAGTTCCATTCACCAGGAGAAGGTAAGGCTGTGCCTTTACAACAGTTCAGCCAGATTTATGAAAAGGGGATGGCTAGGGTTCTTCCAGCCTTGCTTCTCTATGTGCATCCCTAGATCACTGGTTTATTTTGCTGAAATCCTTTTTGTCTGTTCAAATTATAACTTGAAAAGCATGAGGAAATTATTTTATTCATCACTCTTATTACAGCAATGCCCACCCTAGAAATAGTTAGGCCCTTTTTTTCTTATTGTCTGTGATGTGGATTAGGATGGAGAAATTAAGTCATTTTGAGAGTTTACCGTAGGGCATTTCTGATTTGATAGTCTTGTGAATTTCACCATGGAGCACTATTTTCTCTCACTTATAAGTCCATCAAGTGAAGATGATATATTTTTTCGAATAAAACTAACATGAGGCAGTAGATGTTTCATATTTTTAACAAATAGTCATTTGAGCTAAGTAGATAATCTTATACTTGACTGAGAGATAATTTAATGACCTAAATAAAGTCAAACCCAGACCAAAAAACTAAAATAAACAGTCTTTTTTTAATATTGTACTTCAATGTTATTTGAACAGTTTTTATTTCCCTGCCATGGGGCATTTCTTGGCTGTTACCTGTGCGGTGGGAAGCGGGGTTGGGGTACATGTGGTAAATTTTAAAACTTCCATATTCACTAAACCACATAAATATGGTCTGTTGGGTTGGGGCACACTGGTGTATAGTATCTTGTTGTTGTTATGATTTTTGATAGAGGGCTTCAAGATTAATAGTTATTCCCTGCTACTCTCTTTGAACAAAGTGTATTATTATTAATATTTATAATACTTATCCCTAGTATAGGTAACCACAGTGCCTGAAATAATTGACAGACTGAGTAGCTGTAATGCTGTTTAAGGAATCCATAATTGCCATTTCTGTACACTCCTGTGAATAGTGCTCATTTTGTCTCAGCCCCTCTTTCATCTGATGGAAACAATATTCACAGGTATTAAGATTTGGTGAGTATGGAGGCTGAAATAGTAATGTCACCCCTCTCGTTGCAAACATTGTTCTGAGAGCCCTTTCAGTAGTTCTACCGTGGTGAAAACCACAGTTGTCCATTATCAGGGTATCTCCCTCTAGAAAGACCGGAAGACCATCGCTCCTTTCGCATTCAAGTGCATAATCGAAAAAAGCTATGAGTTCCTCGCCATTCGAGGCTCCAGGAATAATATTATAATAATCGACACCGAAAACACTATGCAAAAGGTTCACCGTGTAGGTTGCGTTCGATGCGTACCTTTGCACCTCCACCGCCTTCATGCCCCTATAACTGCTTCCATACAGACGATTAGATGTTGTTTTGACAACTGAGGCTTCATCAAAGAAGTGTAGTGTAGTGGGGCTCAATCCCTGTGTGATCTGCAGATAATCATCAACTTTCCAAATATTTTTGGCCCGTTCTGTAGGAATTTGGCAAACTTTCTTCCGTGTCATTCCTAACTTGTCATGTAAACTATGTTGTATAGATGACTCAGATGGCAAAGTAGAACCATCACATATTCCTTCTAGGTAAAGTCTATTTCGTATCTCGTGGGCATAGGTTGTCGGCTTTTGAAGTTTCCAAATTTCCATGCACTGCAAAACGTTATCTGTCACTTTACGCGGCTTATACCGTTGAAAATGACGAATTATCTTTCTGACAGCACGCGTCGTCACTTGTAAGTCTCGAGAAATCTGCTTTTTGGAAAATCCACGATTGTACAAGTCAAGAATTTCCCCTCTAAATGAGTCGGGGAGAGGTTTTCCGGGCTGGTAAATGCGACCAAGCTGGTTCCTCGCCGCCATTTTTTGAAAGCAAGAGTGTCTCCATATAAGGAGCATCGCTTGTTCGCATAGTCCAATCAGCAATCGAAGTTTGATTCGAACATTTCAAAAGTGAATACATTATTTAAAACGACTAACGGGTTGAATTTTGGAATAATCGATCCATTAATATAATCTAGGGGGGTACGCTTGACTTGGCTTGACTGTAATATATTAAAAAATGTAATAGTTGGCACTATTTATCGACCGCCTGATGAAAATGTAACTGACTTTTTGAATTCATTGCGAAAATTATTGTCTACTACTACTACAGAGATTAAGATCTGTTATGTCATGGGCGATTTTAATTTAGATCTTTTACGGCATGAGCAACATGCCATCACAGGAGAATTTGTCGAACTTATGTTTTCTCACCTACTTTACAACATGACCACAAAGTCCACCCGTATAACATCTAACACCACCTCCCTTATTAATAATATTTTCACTAATAATGTTACTTGTCTATCTGTCAAAGGACTGATTGTAAATGATTTATCTGACGTCTTGTCGATTTTTTCAATTAGCCGTGGAGACTTTGATTACGGCACTTCCACTAAAAACCGGTGTCGCTATTTTTTTGTAGTGTTTGTATTTTTTTGTAGTCAAATTTACCAGGTTAATAACTACAAAAGGCGGGCTTTGTAGCATTAATCGTAAAGAGCAGTACTTTGTAGTTATTAATCGTAAAGGATGTCATTTACGATTAATAATTTTGTCAAACAGTTAATCGTGAAAAGCAAAATTAATAACTGCGTTTGACAGGCTTTGTACTTTGTAGTTAACAATCGTGAAATTTACGTAACTATATTAACAGGCTTTGTAGTTATTTAATCGTTGCCTAGTCCCTAGGCCTCATTATTATGCGCGGCCGATGCGTTTCGGGTCACGTGGTCTGAGGAGCTTTTTTTTTGTCTCCCGGCCGTTCGTCCCGGATACGTCACTGAAATGCATTGACCGAGAAGGCCTGGAAAGACGCCGTACAGAGACTAGGCAAATTTAATCGTAAGGTTGTCAATTCCTCCAGAAAAGCTAACTCAAAAGCTAACGGCCGCCATTACAGAAAAGAAAACAACCTCAGACTCTTTTCTTCAAGGTGCTTGTTTCCACAAAAATACATCGCAGAAAACTTTTCGAGAGGTCAAAGTTTCCATTCAGCTTCTTTCTTGATCGATTTTTTTGTCTACGAAAGCTAGCTTCTTTCGCTGTTTTTTCCCGATAAACAGACATCGTGCACGAAATTATGATAAGCGGATAAGCGAGTAAAATGTTCAAATTACTCTTCCATTGAAATTGAACTTGGAAAGAGGCATCTTAATCTTTTCCAACTGTAACGAAAATGAATTTGAGCAGAAAAATTCTCTATCGTAGTCTTTTTCTTGCCTAAATCGTCGACAATTTTAACGCACTGTTGGTAAACAGGCGTGAAATTACACTTGCCGTGAGAAATTTTATCACCGATGCTGA